GAGGAAAGACTGGGGGGGGGAAGGCAGAAAAAACTCATGAATTTGGGGATTCCTTAAAGCATCAGCCTGGAGCAGCCACAGGCCATGCTGCTTTTACTGAAACAGGAGCTGGACACACACCCAGGACCACCCCAGGCCTGTGGGACCAGCTGTCTACAATTTTTACAGTTATATACTGAATGTATAACTGAAATACTGATGCCCAGAGACACCCTGTGTCTAGAAATCCTGATATCTATAAGCAGTAAAAGAAAAATGAGGTTTCTCTTCTCCTTGAGCATCTTCCCCACATTGAACTGCAGCCTTGAGTGCATCACTGGTAGAACATTAACCTTCTCTTTGTCCACAGCCCTTTGCCAGTCCTTCTGCAGCCTCCTTGCACAGAAAAGCATCCCAATAACATCCCCTTGCATCTGAGCAGGATAAAGAAGCTGTTTTATGGCAGGAGCAGGGCTGTGTGTCCTTGTGAGGAGTGTCTGTCCACAACCCTGCCCAAGCAGGGCAAGAGGATCTGGGCATGGGTTCCCCTTCCTGCAGGGCTCTCCAGCAGAAACAGTTAATTACTGTATTTAAAAGTTAGTAAAACCTTCCACAGTTGGGAAAGTGGGACAGCAGAATCCTGACCTCTTCATTAATTTGTCATGTGTGCTTCACCTTCATTTGCTCGTGGTGATGTTTTGCATAAGCACACACGGGGCTCCCAGCTGAAAACATGCTGGAAAATGTTGGGGGTACTCTTTGCCAGTAAAACACCAAATCAGCTACACCAGCTTCAGGGCTTCACATCCTTTCAGAGCTCAAACACCCACTCTTTTATTATTCTATTTGGAAAATCTTGCATCTTCCCTCTGGGGGAAATCAGCATATGGCAAAGACAGGATTAGAGCAGTAAACGTATTCAGGTGAAGTCCTGTTCCACTGGTTTAATTGCTCTGAGGTGAAGACATGATTTGATGGAGGATCTATTTGCTGGAGGATATGTTCAAACAAATCAGTGAGTTACTATGGCTCATTTTAAGTGCAAGTTCCAGAGGTATTCACTCAGCTTCTTTCTGCATTGAGGTAGGAGAGTATGGAGCACACTGCACAGCTCTGTCTGAATTGTAATGAGACACTTGTTTACTGCCACATCCCAAGTTCAGAGAAGTAATATAGCATTAATTAATTATTTTAGCAATAGGTCCAATGCTCGATGCATGCTGTTGAACACTTTTTTTCAAATTGTCATTTGAGTCTTGCAGCCTGCAGAAGTCACTGCAGATGAAAATTCTCTTAAAGAGATTTTTCTAGACTTTTTTGCCAGCTGCTGGGTGATCTTTCTACTCTTGTGTATGTCACAGCCTCTAATTATCAGACCTACCCCTCAGATCACAGAATTCACTTTATTGACAGGGAACAATAACTGACAGTGCCATGTCCAGTCTTTTTATAAACATGTCAAGGGATGGTGACTCCACCACCTCCCTGGGCAGATGATTCCAGCACTCAATCACTCCTTCAGTGAAGAATTTTTTCCTGACATCTAACCTAAATTTACCCTGGTGCAGCTTAGGACTGTGTCCTCTTCTTCTGTCCCTGGTTACCTGGGAGAAGAGACCAACCCCACCTGACCACAGCCACCTTTCAGGGAGTTGTGTAGAGTGATAAGGTCACCCCTGAGTAAAGCCCAGACTGGAGTAGATTCTGTCCCTGTGGAGCAGCGAACCCTGTGCCAGGATGTGGGAATTCTTGGAGCAGCTGATGGAGATCCAGCTGTCATCACCCACAGTGTCACCTTGGAGAGCCCCAGGTGAGGGGAAGGCCAGGGAGGACCCCTGGGGTACAGGGGGAAAGGTTTGGGTGGGATCCTCATCCCATGGTGGGAGCATCTCCCGGGGTCTGGCCCATCTCCTACTGGTCTCCCAATGCTCCCAACACCTCCCAGTAATCCCAGCATGATCTCCCATTGGTTCCAGCACCTCCCAGTGGTGGGAGGGATTGTCTCCTACTGGTTCCACCACCTACCACTTGTTCCACCACAATCTCCCAGCAATCTCAGCATCTCCTCTGATCCCACCCTCCCATTTCTCCTCCCCAGGACCTATTTCTACAGTGGCCACAGCCCCCCCAGCCTTCCATGCCCCTTCCTCTTCCAACACCTGTCAGTTCTCCTGCCTCCCATTCTGTGGCTGAGTCCTGGTCTATGAGGCCATGACCTTCACCATGGCCATCTTCTTCTCCAAGCCCCTGGACTACAACCTGCTTCCCATGCAGCTGGGCCTGGAGCTGATCCTGCTCAAAGCTCACCTGGGCAGGTTGGAGGACACCTTCACCCAAATGTCCCAGAGGGAGCCTCCCCCCACCACCAAAAGGACAATTGTGTGCCCTCATGTCACCCTGGACACCTGCCAGGAGCCCATCCAGGTGATTGCTGGCCATGCCAAGGTGACAGCCACCAGAACCCATCCAGGTGAGTGCTGGCCATGTCAAGGTGACAGCCACCAGAGCCCATCCAGGTGAGTGCTGGCCATGTCAAGGTGACAGCCACCAGAGCCCATCCAGGTGAGTGCTGGCCATGCCAAGGTGACAGCCACCATATCCATTGTCAGGATAGTTCTGCAGGAATGGAAGTGCTCAGGGAAAGAAGCTGGAGAGAGACTTCCATCCTATGTGATACCAAAAGGGTTGATTTAATTTTTTCTGTGCCTATGAACTTTTAGCAGAGAAACAAAGCATGCAAAAACTGCTTTCCCAGCAAGAAAAAGAAGATAAGAAGAAGACATCTGGCTCAAGAATGTAGTAATAGACAAAATAAAGACTGAATCTGGGAACTCGGAGTGGGTTTTACGGAAATGGGTAAATTGCAATATGCACTCACTTGTAAAATCGTGTGTGCACAAATGGTTAGGAGTGTCCTTTGTGCAACCTCAGGCCTGAATAAATGATGGCCTCTTTAAACCAAATTAGGAGTCCTATTCCAGTATTTTGGAGATTTTGTGACAGTTAATTGGAAAGCCACTCAGATGACCAACCTAGAGCTTCAATGAATTTGTGGGAGACATCTCCAGCCAGCACTGAGGAATTCTCAGGGAGAAGCTCAGCTTCTGACCAGCAAAGAGTCAAGGCAAGATCCCTGGGGTAAGTAAAGGCATCATATAAATTATTTATCTTGGGATTATTGACAAGGAATACGAATCCCCACACAGAGTTACTGGTAAGGGGGGTTTGAGTCCCTGCCTGAGTTTATCATGGGGAGATTTGAGTTGCCAACCTCAAGGGGTCGGAGTTTCCCCTGTCCAAGGTTCAAGTCCCCAAGAAGTATTAGAGAAGTGTTAGGAGTTCAAGTCCCCTGGAAAGTATTAGAGGTTGTCCCAGGGAGGTATCAGGAATCGCTGTATCAAGCTAAGCTCGTAGTTTAAAGAAAAATCATTGTTCCACTGTCTCATAGCACAGGCTGCCACCATCTTGACTTGGACAGAGAATGAAGAAAAAAAAAGTCTCTATTTACATTGAAGCCTGGCCCTGCCTCATCTGGAGCCACTTTTCTGGTGAAGCTTGGTCAATTCCTTTGCATTCTTCTCGAATTCTGAGAGCATGCTCATGTGAGAGTGGTGTGTTGGTGTGAGTTTGCCAGCATATCAACGTGGGGATGCCCAATATAAATATTCATTGCTGACAGTATTGGAGCATGGTCGAGTGTTTGCTGGGGCTTTGGAGCTGCTTTAGTTTTGTGTCAGTGGCTGAGATCTCATTTGTGGACTGGAAGCACCCTCTTGTGTCAGCTTTAGTGACTGCTGCTTTGGCAGTCTCCTCTCTTTCCCATTCTCCCCTTCCCACAAATACCATTATGACTTTCAGAGGTAATAGCTCATATATTTGTAATTATTGAATAAGGGGCAGGTTTCTTCTAAAACTCAAGTGGGAGATGGTATTCCAAATTCTCCATTGAAATGTATATTGAAAAACTGGAGATAGGAGACCCACCAAGTAAACCCAGACCTGCACCTCTGGATGCTCCTTGCCCTACCAACAGCCACTGGATGGATCATCCCTCAATCCAAGCAAAATGGCTGGGTGACCCTGGCAAAAACCCTCCAAGACAACTTGTGCCTGGCCATGGGTGACCTCAGTGATCCCCTATTTATGTGCCTGGTGGGAATTCCACTGACAGCAAGAGACCCAACCCAGTGGATACCTGGCATGAGTGGACAAGGATTCTGCCTCGTGCACCAGAGGAACCCCAAGAATTGGATCTGTTGGGGTCCTCCAGGGCCACATTCTGCATTCAATTTTACTATTGGTGACCACATCAGCCTCTCCCAGAATCCAACCATATTCAATCCCTTCTCAGGAACAGAGTGAGTCCAGTTTGGAAAATCTGATTTGATTGGTGTAACCAGTGCAACACTGTCCTTGTCCACATTGAATGCCAGGGTACTCCCCCAGGGAGTGTTTGTTATCTGGGGGGATAGAGCATGGGCTGGGATCCCTTCCTGCAGGAAAGGAAAAATGCCTGCAGCAGGAGGCAGGAAAGCATAAATTGGGTGGGCTTTTTTCACCTCTTGCTTTAGGGCACCGTGAAGCTCCAGCTGGGAAATTGGGCTGTGCTGTAACACCAACACCAACAGGGCATCAGGGGACTGGGCTCCTCCAGGCAGCAAAATGCTGTTTCCAACCCAGCCTCAAGGGAAGCAGGCTGATAGAAAAGCTCCTGCTAAATTCATGGAGCAGAGGTCAGTTTACACAAAATTTCTGTTTCAGCACTGGCATGTTTTACATGCTTATAATAATTAAGACATTTAAGCACTTCTGGAAGACACCAGCTTGAGTGCCAAGCAATAAAATCTTACTTGTGACCCTACATGAAGCACTGGAATAAGCTGAAACAAGTTGCCTGGAAACATACCAGGTATATTTATTTAAAACAAACAAAAATTATTTTTTCTTTAAAAAAAATCTATTCATTTAATGTTTTTTAGCTTCCATATATTAAAAAAAAAAAAAAAAAAAAAAAGCTTTGATTTTGTCAGCATACTTGTATCTGCAGGTTACAACACCTGGGGAAAGACCAGCAGAGATAATTTTGTTAGTATTTTCCAAACACTGAGCCCATAAATTCAGTGCAAGCTTAACATGCAGCAGTCAGAGCTGCTTCCAGTCTAAACAAGTTCAGCCTCCCCTCATTAACACAGTTTTTGTCAATCTGCTGTATTGCTGTCAAGGCTACAAGTCTTTCCAGTTCCCCAAGAAGACATTTAAGTGCACAGTAAAATCATATCTGCACACAAACTATGCTTCAAATTTCAGTAATTCATGTAATGGGAGTTTGAAATGATCCAGACTTGTAGGGGCTCACAATACTCCAGAACAGGATCAAACCAAGTCCCTGCCAGCCTGCAGCTCTTTATCAACATTGCTGAGTTTGATTGAAATAGAATCAGCTCAGTCTGGCTGACAGCACTTTTTAGTTGAACTGTGAACTTGGTGCATTATCAGAAAAGCTGAGAGTGACAAGGCCAGTCCTGCTCCAGCCCATGAGTGACTCAGGCAGGACAGATCACACAGGGCTAAGAAATTCTTCTTGCCACCTGTAAAGAAGTGGAGGCAGCAAAATGAAAATGTTGAGGCTCCTCAGGCCAACACTGTGAACAATTCTAGTGCTATTTTCACCTCAGTTACTGGTTCATTTTCTCCTGTATCTTCTTTCAGAAGGATGAATAATGTTTCAGCCTAAAGAAAAAAAAAATTGAGATGTTTAAAACTTCTCAGTAATCTGTTGAGGGGACAACACCAAGAAACAACAACTCTTCAGCAGTGCCACTGAGTATCCTCAGCTAATCTGAAACATTGATGCAGTAAAAGATAGCAAACCTGCTAGAATTAATTAAGTGCCATTATAATATGCAGTTCAAGTTCAAATAAAGGACAAATCACAAGATTTATTCATATTTAGGAATATTTCTATAAATTTTCCCTATCTTGGTAAATCATTAAAATCTTATCTTAAAATTCAGCAGTTTTTCAAGCACCATGAAGTTGTGAGTTGAAATAAATAAATATTCCTGCTTAGAGTTAGCACAGCTTGTCAGCCCTGACCACAGCAGCAGAGAAGGAAAATAAAAAATATGGAAATGGAGTGTATTGCATAATCAGACAAACAACAAGGGTTGTTCTCCAGCAGGGAAAGCCAACTCCACACTCCAGTAACTCATCAGGTGAAATTCAGCTCAGAAATCACTTTATCACTTACAGTCATCTGCCCCATCTTCCAGAACACAAACTTGTTATCTGGGATTAATGGACCTGACTTAGTACCTACCTAAATAACAAAGCTTTGCCTTTGTTATTTGCTACAGAGAAATATCCACTTCTGGGAGAGAAGTCCATAGATTGAGTGAGATAAATCTGTTTTCTTCTGAACACTGGGAAGTTTGAGAATACAGTATATGAAGGAAGGTGCACCTATTGAGAAATAGGTCAGAATTTAAAGTTAGGAAAAAACTACTAAAAATAAAATTAAATTACAGATCTATAATTGAAGCTCAATGTTAAGTTCAAATGTTCAGTTACATTCCTACCCTATATGATTCTATATATAGAATTCTATTTCAGAAAAGGAGCAGGGAACACACCATGGAACCAATTATTGCAATTCTCAGGCCTACAAATCCTCAGATTAATTCAACAGTTGCACTGTTGGCCAGAATTCTGATAAGGCTGGCAAAAAAAAAAAAAAAAAATAATATGATGGTTACAGTTACCAGCTGCTGAAAACTCACATTTGTTGCAGAGCTATATTGACAGCACTGCAACAGAATCACAGACCGGTTAGGTTGGAAAAGAACTTAAAAGTTTTCATGTAATTCCAACCCCCTGCCATGGGCTGGGACACCTTCCACGAGACCAGGTTGCTCCAAGCCCTGTCCAACCTGGCCTCAAACACTCCCAGACATTTTAGAAAGACATTTTAAAAAGGTAAAAAGGTCAACTAAACTACAAAATGTTCTTTTCAGAGCAAATTTACTAAAGAAAATAAAATTGTGTAAATGCAGAGTGTCTTGGCCATGTCCTGATCTGGTTGGTCCAGCACCTTTTGCAGTACCTGTATCTGCTTCATATCAATTTTATGATGTCACCAGCAGTAGTTTTAGCAAGATATAAAAGAAATATTGCAATAAAGAAGCTGAACATACCAATTTGACAGCCTCATCAGTGTCACGTGAAGCCACTGCCAAGATCTCTGTGGTGGGATTAAAGGTCACACAGGTGGCAGAAGTAACAAGGTTCATTATGGCTTTCACTGGTTTAGGACGGTTTTCTTTGAGGCAGGCATCAGTAGTGTATAAATTTACAACTCCAGAAGATGAACTAAAGAACAAAATGAACAAAGATTATACTCAAAAGTAACATTTCAGTACATATTGCCTTGTTATCTATAGCCACTACTCACCTGAAAATGTAACTCCCAATTATTTACTGGAGTTTGTAATAATACTTCATCTGAAGCTTGATTTTCCAATGGAGTTTATAACAGTATTTAGAGGAGGGGTTTAGGTTTTTGCTGGTTTGGATTTTCTTTTTACTTATATAATAAGAGACTCAGCTAAGGAGAGCCTTGATGAGCCCATCTGTTATCAGGATGAATTCAAAGCAAGGAGAGCTAGGTATGAAAATATTCTGAAATAACTTCAAGTTTTTTATTGTGGAATCTTTTCAATAACTGTAGCATAAGCTCACTTTAAAATCCTCTTCTACAGTGAGCTAGGAATATATATATATATATATATATGTATATATGTATATTGTAGTCCTGTATTTATTTGCTATTGTCATTTAAAAGAATCCAGACACTGGCTGAAGCTGCATCTCAATAAATGTGGAGTAAGAGTTTCAGCCTGTGGCTTTGAGTTGAGGCCCCTTTTGAAAGGCAAATATGCTGCCTTGCAGGAGCCACATTCAGAGTCCAGGGAAGAGAACCAGAAAAGGGAAAAGACCCTGAATCAACATTCCTGCGACAGAATTTGTGATTTTAGTCAGTGTGATTTCAGAATTAACTGTACCCATACATGGTAACAGTCACACAACTATCACTCCTTTGCTTTAGGTGGACTATGGTATTTTATATGTACACAGAAAAAAGTCAATTATTACCATAAAATAGAGAATATTCATCTATTCATGTCTACTCTAAGCTTATTAGAGCCAAACCATGTTCCTAAACTCTCACCAGCTACCCATAAGTTCACTGAAGAGCTTCAAAATGAGAGCAGAAGAAGCTGTCAAAGTTCAGTCACTTACCCACATGCCACATACTGGTTATTTTTTGAAACAGCAATGCACTTTCCTTCTAAACAACCTTCATCTTCAAATTTGTGTAGGCACTTTCTGCTTCTCACATCCCAAATGAAAACTTCACCTTCCTCTGGTTGCAGAATGAAGGATATTGGAGAAAACACACATACACATCACTTTGTTGGTCCATTTTGGTAAAATAAATTTAATTAGATGACAACTAGAAGCTCATTTACAACTATCAAATACAGGGTAATTTAAAAAAAACAACGATTAATGGTATACTATAATAGTTAATTCCATTATTTAATGATTGATCACTTAGTTCTATTTTTAGAAGAGATATCAGCATAAAATTTTAAAATTATGTTTTTAAAACAATAAATGACTTCTAAGAACTCATGCAATTTAAACGGAGTTATGATTAGAGCTGCTGGAACACTCACTCGAATAGCTGTATATTTTACTGCTGTCTGGGGTGAAAGCAGAGGCAGTGCACCTTCCATTCACCTTCATAGTGCTGATCAGTTCTTTTGTCTGTAGGATGAAGAACAATGCTGACAGAGATTCTACCAAAAACCTACAGAAAAGTTGTTTCCTGTCCCACAAAAATCTTAAGTTAGCTACCCTGACATTCAGAGAACAGCACCAACATTTTCAGAGCAGAGCACAAGCTCCTGAGTCCAAGTGCAGCTGGATCAACAAACACTTGTTTGCCCCCTCACTGAAGGGCCTGAGTTACACAAAACTGAAATTTCTCCTTTAAAAGTATTTTTCCCTGTGGAAGTTTAAAACAAATCCACCTGCATAAGGCATTTTAAAATTCAGCTGAAAGATTGCTCTATGCATTATGAATCAGTGTTTGGCATGATTCATGAACAGGGTACAGCAGCATGCACTAACATGACTCCCAAAAAAGCAATCCTATATTTCTTCCACCCCCAGGTGCCTGTTCCCATGCTGTTTCCATTTCTTTTGCCAGCACAGTGGTTGTGCAAGCAGCTGAAATACAGCACTGACACACAACTTCTTCCAGCTGAGAACCCCATGGAACTGCTCTGAGCTCCACCAGCCCCATGGAGGTGCAGAACAAAGTCTCAGAGTCCAAAATAATTCCCTAAAGCTGCAGTGGGTTGATTCAGCAGTGCATTTTTCAGGGCTGTCACAGTACGTGTCATATCTTGGCTTCAGTTGAAAGTCAGATTGCCTTGCAGGGGAGATTAAAAGCAGATTCAAAAGGGAAAAGGCAGCAAGGAAATGAAGCTACATGAACCATGCAGACAAAATACCTTCATGGACAGCAAGTGAAGGTAACCTGAAGTTCCAATTAGCAGCATAAATGATCCATCTGGAGAGAGTTCAAAGTTTCTGAGAAATCTTTCCTCCACACCTTGAAAAAGAGATTTGAAACTTGTAGTTGTCATAATTTATACTTTGGCCTCAACATTTAGAGGTAGGATGAATATGACTAAGACCTGACTCCAGCTTTTCATTTCTGCAATATTCTATCCCAGAGAAGCTGAACTCAACCTTGCTCATGCGTGATAATGAATATCCCAGACAAATTAACACTAAAGGTACTTTATTTCCTTGAAAACAAGTTAAAAATAGAACCTCCAACAACCCATTGCACTTTCTTTTAAAGCAAATTCATGTGCCATCTCTCTTTGGGACAGCTTAAACCATGCCCAGACACTCAGAGCTGCAACACATACCTCGTACTTTTGGGATAGGGATGATACTCCCAGCTAGCATGTCATACACAAAGAACATGCTGTGGTGAGTCCCAGTGGCTATAACTTGCTCTCCATCCACACTGAAACGAGCCTTATAAATTGGAAAACTCTCTAAATAGATGCTCTGTATTTTTGGGTTCCTTATACCGTCCACCTTCAAAAAAGAAAGTAACAAACCAGGTTGTCATATTGAGGAATATATCAAATACTTTTACAGAGAAAAATCATATCAACTTCTCAGCTGAGACTTAACTAGTAAGAGGTACAGCTCTGTGAAGCCTTGAACTCTTCCTCTCTCCTACAAATTATCTGATTCTTAGCTCCTCACCTCATGTAACAGGTACTCCCTGCCTTTCTGACAGACCTCACACCTCTTTCCCTTCCTCATCTTGCCCATCCTATGTTCAAATAATCACTTCTGTTGTGCTTTTTCTAAATGGAAACATGTGCTTTGATTTGGGTTTTCTTGCAGCTCTGTGGGGATATCCACAGATAATCTCTGTGGGGATAGCCATGTTCCACTTGTGTCTGATCATTTTCAGATACTGGGCTATGCTAAAAGTGCCTCAGTAAAATTAGGATCTTTAGTTTTCAGAGGAGCAGGGGAGTGTCTCAGGATGAACACCTTCTTCCCTGCAGCACAGCCTCTCCATCCCCAACATGATTTCACAACAATTTTTCAGTCTCAAAGCAAAGTGGGCTGCTCCCCCCACTACAGACGCTCCAAACAATTTAGGAACAAAAAACCTCGTTAGTACTCATCACTTCAAACCTTCAAACCATAAGTTTCTGAACACAAATCTTCAGCTAAAATCTCTGAGACAAAAAGTTTGCCAGTACTGTACAGGTGCTTGGTGTGAAGTCACAAGTGAAAATTCCTTCCAAAATGCCTTTAACCAAGGAATTTCCATTATAACCACAGACGTTACACCCAGTGTGCAGAGGAAGAGAGAAAACAAAGTCTACCACTCCAGGCTATTTAATGTACACTCAAAAAAAAGGTTCTATGTTAGTGACCATCAGCAGAGTACAAACTGAAGGTCTTCACCTGGAACAGGGACACAGAGCGATCGTGGCCAGCTGTCATCACTACTTGAGCTGAAGGATGAAACTGCACTGTCACCAGTTTTCCATTGGCAAAACGTTCCTGGTTTGCAGGAAGGCAGGTGCTCACCTACAACACAGATCAGACAGTTAAAAAAAAAAAAACCCAACAATCATTTATGCTGAATAAAAAGCCAATTACTCTTTATGCTACAAGACCTCAAGCCCTGTCGTGAAGTTTTGGGCAACATGAGGTGAGCAGAGCACACACACAGCCCATTCAGGGAGCTGCCCCAATGCAAATAGAGGCTGAATTCAATAGCCTTTCTACTTGCTTTAAAACTGAGTGTAAAACCAGCTGCATTCTGACTCATCTGAGATAGCTAGGGGACACAGTGTGAGAAATACTCATTTAAACCTGTCTTCTTAAAGATCATTTCAGTAGCTTCAAAGTTGTGGGAGAATTCCATCCTCCCTCTGCAGAAATTAAAATCCTACAAGATGCCATTTAGAGTGCAGAAAATTCTGATGTCAAACAATCCACCTCAGTTTATTTTTGTTTCAGGCTTTCACATGAACTGTTCAATTTGCTTATCCTCTAGAGCTTCTAGCTCCAGAAACAAATTCACAGAATCACTAATTTTATACACAACAAAAGTCAAAGTGTGCACTTTAGTCCAACTGAAGTGGAAAGGTCTGTCTTTACCTTCAAAATCCCTCTTGGAAGAGACTCTGAGCTCGTTATGAAATTGCCAGTCCTGCGTAGCAGATCATCATCTTCATCACTGTCACCTCATTAAACCAAAGCACATTGAAACAGCTAATTGCACAAACACCCACAGCAAAATCAACACATTTCTCACTGAAACAAATTAAATTAAAGCACACTGAAGGAACAAAGCTAACATACCCAGCATATTATCACACTACTGAAACTGAGAAGACATCAAAAGTAATTATCTTCTAGCAAGCTGAACAGGGAATTACAGAAACACTTATCAGAATAGTATTGGATATATTTACTATCACTCGAAGTCCTTTTGGATTTCTTCCTGTTTTCTAGATCAGCCCAGGCAGGAACTCCTCCCATGGCTTGCTGAAACCTTATGAGAAAAGAGGAAGAGAAAAAAAACCATAACTTTTGTGAGACAGTAATTTCTTTCTATGAGTTAAGTACTTAGAAGAAGCACAGTCAAAATTTGCAGGATTACTTGCACTTAGAACACAATGCAAGCTTTTAATTCTTTGAAAAAATCTTTAAGATTTCACTGTTTCTTGTATACACCCTAGAAGACAAATTAGCTTGGGCACTTTGACACAAGTATTAAACAAACTACTCTAGACAATGCTAATGCACATTTTATTTACTATTCTTAGTATTATTTGTGATTTAAAAGCACTACAAATACTGCAGGAAGTACTGGCTTTGAAGAAGCCACATGAACACGAGTGGATAAAGAGCAAAGTGGCTTTGAATATCAGATAAATGTATTTTAGCTCACAAAACTGTTGGGTTGGAAGGGAGATGAACCCTCTAGAGATCATCCAGTCCAACCCCCTGACCAAGGCAGGGTCACCTGGAGCAGGTGACACAGGAACATGTCCAGGTGCCTTTTGAATGTCTCCAGAGGGAGACTCCACAACCCCCCAGGGCAGCTGTTCCAGTGCTCTGTCACCCTCCAGGGAAAGAAATTCTTCCCCATGTTGAAATGGAACTTTTTGTGTTTTAGTTTATGGTCACTGTTCCTCATCCTGTTCTGGGTGCCACTGAAAAGTCTGGCACCCACCCTGGAGATCAATGATCTCATTTCAATATAGTCAGCCACAGAAACATTAGTGAAACTCACTGTTCCTCAAGTCTCTTCTTTAGTTTTTTCTTAGTAAGCGTTGTCTCGGCATCACTCTTCATGAAATCTTTCCTGTACTTATGGGTCATATCAACACTAGAGGAGAAAAACACACAGAACGCAAAGATCGTTCAAACCAAAGCCACTTACCAAGTGTGACACGTAACTCCCATCACCCAACCTGAACTTACTCTTCCTCGGCTTCATCATCCTCATCCACCCATGCCGGCTTTTTGGGCAGTAAGTCACCTTTCGCTTCATTTTCCACCTCCGAGTCGCTGGACTCTTCCTGGAGGTCTTTCCCCTCTGCAGCAGTGACCTGAAAACAACCAAAGGGGCCGTGTGACCGGGGACACGGCTCGGGGCCCGGGGAGCGAGCGGGAGGGGCCGCACCGAGCACCGCCCGGGGCCGGGCCTGCATGTACCGTACCGTTCGGGGCCCGGCGAGCCGCCGCAGCAGATCATCCTCCTCCACGTTGAGGCTGTCGCCGAATACCAGCTCCTCCAGCTCCCGCTCGGCGCCCGACGCGCAGCTCAGCACCTTCAGGTGGCGGGCGCGCCGCGCCGCCTCGGCGGCCGCCGTCTGATTCGCCGCAGCCAGCTTCGCCCTCCGCTTGGGTTTCGTCATTTTGGCCGCTTTGGTCGCTTTAGACACTTTCTTCGCCGCCTTCATTCTGGGCGTTTTTGCAGCTCCCCGCTCCCGACCCGCGGCCGCCGCCGGAGCCCGCATCGCGCACCGGAACCGGAACACGTGCACGGGGAGGGTGACGTCACCCCTCCTGGTCCCGCCCCCGCCCGCGATAGGCTGATGCCGCCGCCCCGCCCCCGCCCCATGTGACCGAGCCCCCGCCCCCGGCGGTGACTCGTGGTCACGTGACTCCTTTCTTCTCCTCCCTTTGCTCCCACGCCCCCGCCCATCCCGAGTTCCACGTGACGCGGCCACAGCCAGGCCGCTCCATTGCGAGCCCGCGGGGGGGGATCCTCGACCTGTGAGGCAACACGCATCCCTCACCGGCCGCTCATCGGCCCCTCACCGGGACATCCTCTGCGCGCCATCACTTGCTGCCGGATACGGCTGCTCTTACCCTCCCTTGGTCCCCGCCTCGGTGAGCAGCGCCCACCCCCGGTAATGAATGATTTCGCCCAGAGTGGGGGGGACACGGCAGTGGGGCCGCCCCGCGCAGCCCGAGCCCGGCGGGGGCGTGTCTGCGCCTGCGCAGCCGTGCGCCCGTGTTGTTGATGTCCCGGCGGCCGCAGTCGGTCCCGGTCGCTCCCCGGCGCTCGGAGCGGCTGAACTGCCCGGGCCGCCCCCGCCCCGCCGGGCTCAGCCCCGACCGGGGCCACCCGCAGCGCCCGAGCCCCTGCGGCGAGCGCGCAGAGGCAGCAGGCAGCTCCTGCCCATGAGGGCCTGATGGAAAACACAAAGGAACTGGTGAGTACCGGAGCCCGCGGGAGGCGCGGCCCCGCGGAAGCCCCAGCGCCTGAGGGGGGGGAGCGGCGTGGGCTGAGCCGTGGGCGGGAGCTGAGCGACCCCCGGTGCCCGTGCGGGGGGAGGCGGCCCCGCGGTGCGTGGGAGGGAGCCGGGGACACCCCCGGGTGTTGCGGGGGCGGCCCCGCGGGGTGCGGGGGGTTGTGCCCGTCCGGGGCGGGGGCTCCGGGGGCCGGGCCGGCGCTGCTGCTCGGGGAGGGTCCTGGGGAGCCGCGGGGGGGCCTGGCCGGGACACGTGGGGGAGGCACGGCCGGACCCCTTTGTTGCGGCCCGGCTGTGCGGGGTCGGTTTTTGTCCTTCCTCCCTCTTCCCTCCTGCCTCGGAGAAAAGTTTGAGCTTCTCGCGGGCGCGCTCGGATCCGCTTCTCCCCCTGCTCCGCTGTAGCGCGGGGTTTCAGTAACTTCCTCCTCTAGTTCCAGCCTTTAAAGTTCACTTTTCCAGCGTTCTCATGTTAAGTGCTGGAGAGTTTTCTTTAATGTCAGCGCTTCAAAAGTTTTGGATTCTTTGCGGCAACTTCCCCACTTCCCGTGCATTTTTTATGACTTCTGATATTGTGACTTTGTTCCCTTTGTAAGGAGTAGTAAACTTGTGAAACCAGTTTCACTTTCAGGTTGTTGCTGGAAATGTTTGAAAGTGTAGCAATTTCTGCCCTGCGTGGCTTTGAAAATTAAAAGTCCTACTACAAAGCATATGCTGATGATGGTAAAAATCTCTGTGTGAAAAAGCAATTTATTTTAAAATGTAGCTGGCAACTGTTGTGATTTTTCAAATCTAAATCTAGTCAAAAAGAAAGCTGCAGGGCAATCTCTTGTATTTTAATTGAAAAACTATTTTGCAGGCTTGAGGACCTGCATTTACGTATTTATTGTATTCAACAGTTTGATTTTGACTTAAAAGGAATGGAATAAGGCAATGAGAGTCTGATCTGGAGCCTTTAATGAGAACTAAAGCAATGTACTCCCTTAAGAAGGCAATAAAACTTGGCAGGTCTTTTGTCTTTACTCATTTCTTCAGCCTAGGCATCGTTTTGAGAAAGTGTGTAATGTAGGCTGTAGGAAACTGCAGAGGGATCTTGTCTCCCAGGAATAGCTCAGGTATTGTTCTTGAGAACATGTGGGCTTGTGCACGTGCAGAAAGATTGCAAACTGGAAGAATTCTCTTCATTGTTCCCTACAGAATGAGCTGCCTCTGGCAGCAGTGGTAACATGCACAAAAGTTCCCTCTCATTGGCTTTTTATTTCTCTTACCTTCTAAAATTTGATTTAATTTTGCAAGGCTTTTCATATCTTCTGAAAACCACTACTGCATTCCTTCATTTCTCAGGTAAGTTGGTACACTCTGGGCATGTGGGATTATTTGCTGAACCTGGCTCTGAGCACGTGGAATGAATTCAAGTGTTGAAGACTTTGGTTTTGGGTTGGTGGTGGTTTTGGGGTTTTTTACATTTAAATTTGTTATTTTATTTGAGTTCTTGGTTTTTTGTTTGTTTTAATGGTAACACAGTGTTTAAAGTGAAATATTTGCCTCTTCCAGATACTCCTGTAAGGGCTTTGTAGAAACATAATGGAGTTTGTAAAAGATTTTTAGTTTTTATCAAAACTCAGATATTTCACATATTAATCATCACACCCCCCCCTCCAAAATTTCCTGCTAATGTGATATATTTTTTTATGAAAGAGTCTCCCCTCTTGTGTGAAACCCCCTGGGGAAGAGGCTATGGACAAAACCATTGGCAAACAGCAGAAACTGGCTTCAGACAAAATGCTGTCATACATAGCAAATGAAGAGACAGGAAAAAACATTTCTGTAATTTTCCAGCAGAGATTTTACTTATAATAAGAGTGGAAGGCACATTTCCAGATAGAGGTGAGTTGCTTATATAAAAAAAGTAAGTTTGGTTGGTTCTGATTTCCAAGAATCCCAAGATGTTTAGCTTTGGGGGTTTTTGTTTGTTTGTTTTTAATGAAAGCTGAAAGTGTGTTTTCTTTAAATTGGTACCATGTTTGAATTTTCTTTTTTGGTCATGTTCTGAGGCACAATTAGGCTTCAGTTCCACAGGAACAAGCTACTATTCTACTGTAAATTATTTTGGCCAACTTGCATTCAGAAGAGTTGTAATAAATTAGTTCTATTGTAGCATTTCCTTAACATTCAGAGCTGAAACAAAGTTTGTAGCATAAAGAATCAATGAACTTTTGTAAACAAAACCATCAAATTTAAATCTAACTCGGAAATACCCTTGGATCCATTAAGGATATGCAATTAAAGTAGATCTGTCTAATGACAGACCCTTGGCTTGAAGGTTGTGGTGACCTCATTGTTGACCTTGGCCTCAGATCCCATCTGTCCATAGTTCTGTCCTGTTTGGGGGGATTGGAGCTGAATATAGCAAGTGATGCCTCTGTTCAAGTGCTGGTGTACCTTTGCTGAGCCACGGCTCTTGAACTCCGAGCTCCAAACTGCTGCCATTCTGAATTCAAGCCCTAAACTGAATTCAAAAGTAACAACAACCATTTGGAGTGGTTTGAAACCTTTCTGTGACTGTTTTGGATCATCCTCCTGTGGCCAGCTGCACTTACCTGGGGGCAAGAGGCTTGGTTACATAATAATGGGGTGTTTTCCTTGCAAGATTTTACCTTCAAAAGTCTTCTGCATTAATTTTGCCAGTGCTTGAGCACAGTCTTCATCAGGACACTAAAGCCATTCCCTGAGTATTTGATGTCTAAATAACATGAAATGTTTTTTTTTTCTATGGATTTCTCACCCTTTATGCCCACTTTTTTGTGTTGTAAGAGTAGTTACTACACTCCAAGTATGTATGCTATAATGTGTTGATCAAATTCAGTGTGTGCATGTATATACATATATAAAAATGTATGTTAAGAGTGAGAAACTGGTTATTTTCTTATTTGTTTAGAGTTGCCTTCCTGCTCTCAGGGAAACCAGTTTCCTTAACTATATTCTTTTTCATACCATTTGCCTTATGTAATGCTTAATTAAGAGTATTTCTTAAAAATACTCTTGTCAAGTATTCACAGGGAGGAGGGGAAGAACAGGAAAGTGGGAAGTTGGGCAGAATAAGAAAGCAGTTCTTAAGAGTTCCTTTCTCCACCCATCCCTTCAAAAAAGAAAAGTATGCAAGAAACCCCCCGAGCAAATAGTACAGGGTAATTTGCCAGTGCTGCTCACACTACATTTCACAGTGCTCTGACTGAAACACTCTGTTGAGGAACCAGTAATCTTATTAGGAAAATAAGCCTTAGCTAGAATGCCTGAAAGTTTGTCTTGTTCTTTTGTTTGTGCATTACTTCTGCTTAATGTACAGATAGACTCTATTAGTGGAGTAGTTACTCAAGCTGCTGCTCTTTTGGCATTAACCAGCTGCCAGGTTCTGTTTTATAGCAAACCAGGCTCCTGCTGCAAGCACTTTCTGTGGATAGACAGGAGGCTGTTCCCTCTTTTGTTAGAAGTTGAACACTGATCAGGTTGAGTTTTGAGGAAAAGACAATCTCCTCAGCATGATTTTGGTGCTAAGTCCAGCTTTGAAGAGTAGGAAACTGGTTTGCTGCTGATTTGAGGGTTGTTTTTTTATTTTACACACCTGTTTTTGAATCCAACACCCTGCAGCTGCTGTGGGGAGAGGCTGGTTCAGACAGACAAGGTGTTGCTGATGTCTGTGGAACCTAAAGGACTCCTCAAGAATTGCTTGTCCTTCACATGCCTAGAAATGACTTCCAGCATTGCTTGTTCCATCACCTCACCAGGGATGAGATGAGGCTCTTTGACCTGTCATGTCCTGGGTTCTCCTTTTGCCTTTTCCAAAGATAGGAAGGGTAACAGCAAAGGGACAGAGAATGTGTGCATAAAGTAGATGGTTCCCATTTCCTGGTATCTGTGATGAAGCTCACCATAATGTATTAGAGGCCACCAGCACTTCAGGAGCTGTTGATGAGATGGTTGAGAGCTTCTGGAAAAAGATTGAGGCCCTAGAAAATCAGAAAGGGGAAAATTTTGTACTTAATTTTCAGAAGAAAAAGGTGAAACCAGTTAGCAAGAACTCAGCAGGAACTGCAGGCTACTGCTGTGCCAAAGCCACTGCTGTATTTTGTTTAGAATTCTGTTTGTCCTTTTTGTAAGGATGTATCTTTGACCTTTGAAGTCAGAGCAGTGCTCCAACTTTTTTCACTTCCAGATGTTAGAGCTCCTTTTTTGTTCATCTGAATTCTGCAGGAAGGATTATC